TCGCGTGACGTCACTTCTATGTACATTTTATACGTAGAAATGACGTTTTAGCCCCCACTCCTAAACTTTGATTCGTTTTATCTAAGTATTGTTTTATTATACGACAAAATAAAAAAATACGTGTCTAATATTTATTCATTACCTAAATGACGGACTAATTATATTTTTAATTTTCATACCCTGTCATCATCCCTATTGTAAGTATACTTAAATATCATACCGTCTCTGTTATTATACAAAGAATTTGTAGCGTCAGAACTATATTTAAACTGTCAACACCAAACACCAAGCGGTCACCGGTGGCCGCAACCTATTGTTCTAGAGGTATAATAATTGTGTCTATAATGACGGTACTCGACGAGTTAAGCGCTACTTAGATTTGAGTGGCGTTTGAGTTTTCAGTGTTACTGTCGTACTTACTGCTGTATTTTGAATCCAAAAGTTTATTTCTGGTATAATTGAAATTCATGATTTTGACTTTGACTTTGTATTTTAGCTCACTAGATGTGGCAACATACTTTCTTTTTAAAGAGTAACGAATGGAGTTTCTTGCTCGTTCTTCTCCATTCGAATCTACATTTTGGAATGAGCATCTAGCTTCACCTATCTTCACTGACGGACTAACTGACAGACTATTATTTATTTTTCCGATTAAGGCAATCTATTTTTCTTGTGGCATCGAGCATTTCTTTCTTTATTTATTTATTTATAACAAGAGTTTATTTATTTATTTTTCTTGTATAGAAGCACTATTTTATATATATTGTCAGTATACATATTATGTAAGGACCATGTCAGACTTAAGATATTTGTTTTCTCTTGGTTTTGTTTTTTTTTCTATTTTAGTATGTTCTGTTATTTGTATGTTGCTTCAGGTATGTCTTTACATTATTGTCACATGTGTGTACAATATTGGAATATGTATCAGAGCAGTGTAAAAGACTTTTTTTAAAAAGAGTAACGAGTGAAGTTTCTTGCTCGTTCTTCTCCATTCGAATCTACGTTTTGCAATGAGCACCTAGCTTTACCTAGCTTCACTGACGTACTGACTGACAGACTATTATTTATTTTGTATTTGTTGACGTTTCAAAAGTACCAAATTATGGTTTAATTGAAATAAATGCTTTGACTTTGACGCTAGTGTGAACCTCTCGTTCTTCGTCCAATAGGGATTTAGGTAGTATCAAGTCATAAGAAGTTCAATGTTAGACATATTGAATGATTAGACAAAACATCCTCTTGTTACATTTACGTCATTTGATTAGCAAACAACGTTGCCCCCTACAGTTAGTTTCCAAATAATTATGGGCTCCGTTCTTAGCTCGAAACTAATCAAGTTACCTCGATAAACAGTTATGTGAATAAATCGTTTATTAATTAATTTAATATTTATAAAATCTCACAATAGATTATAATACAAACATTTAAATATTAACATAATTATATCTTATAGTTAAAATATATACTAAGGATATGACTAATTTCTTAAACTTAAATAAATACAATATTTTTACTTACGTATATGTGTTTTTTATTAAATATAACATTTTATCTACATTTTCGTTCTTTTCCAAACATAGCTACATGCTTTTAATTCCCAAAAGGGGTAGACAGAGGTACACATATGCAATGTAACACCCACTTTTCACTATTCATGTTATGAGTCCCATGTAATATGTTGATTAATTTACGTTTTACTTTCGATGTTTGTTCGTCAATTACGCTGAAAGTACTGAATTCGATTATGATGAATTCTGGTATACAGGCAGGGTATGGGTTGACTTCGGTGACAGAACTTTTTATCTCGATTAAATGCTTCCAGGAGATAAACAAACTGATAAAATATAAAAACAAAAAGGGACCACACTGTGTGATCCACAGATTGTTGTTCCGTGTCTGTGTGTCATGTGTATGTGAACTTGTATGTTTGTAAACGTACCCACGACACAGGAGACGATCTTAGTGTAGGGCAACGTTTTAAAAAAAAGCCATGATCATATTCTACGCGGACGAATTCGCGAGCATCAGCTAGTAACATTTAACTCAAAAAGTATGTAAGTATTTGACATCTTAGACTATTATATAAAACGGAAGAGTTGGTTTGTTTGTTTGTTTGAACGCGCTAATCTCCGTAACTACAAGTCTGATTTGAATAATTCTTTTTGTGTTGGATAGTGCATTTATCGAGGATGGCTATATGCTATAAAACATCACGCTATGACCAATAGGAGCTGAGCAGAGCGTGTGAAACCGCGCGGAAGTACCTAGTTTAAAATAAATAGATTTTATTTTCATTTATTTAACTTTGACTCGCGGCTTTGATCGCGTATTCCTGGTTTATTCCATGCGAGCATTCATCGTGACAAAAAGTATCGTATCACCGAAGTCAGCCCATACCCTGCCTATATACAATCAAGATCCGTTCAGTAACTTCAGCGTGGTTGACGGACATATATACAAACAGAGAAACTATCATATTTATAATATTAGTGTGTTTTCATGTTGTATCGATGGCCTGTTTAAAATATTGAAACATTATATACTCACTAGCGACCCGCCCCGGCTTCGCACGGGTGCAATATGCATGTATTAAACATATAAACCTTCCTTAAGAATCACTCTGTCTATTAAAAAAACTGAATCAAAATCCATTACGTAGTTTCAAAGATCTAAGCATACATAGGGACAGACAGACGGTGGATAGTGACTTTGTTTTATACTATGGCTCCGTTTCTTGACTTCCAAGTGTTTATTACTGATTTTCCTTAAAATTATGATGGAAAATGTTCGAAGTATCAATTAATTGTTCCACATAGGAATCTAACTCCTTGTTTGAAGTTCATTGTAGGTATATTCGTAATAGAGATTGAATTAGTTCACTGAAATTACAATTTTTATATGAAAAATTGTATTAGTAGAATGACAATTGTTTTTTATTCATAAAATTGATCAGTAATCCCCCCCCCCCCACACCAATGCATGCACAAAGGGGTTGATCATTTTTATATTGACTTCAGACAGATTTCAAATGTATCGTTTTTAATCTTCGTTTATACATATATTCGAAAAGGGGTGAGCAGAGACGCTTTCGCCAGTTAATGTTATGAACTTAAGAATGTCGTGTATTGTAATGTAATGACAGTCTGTTTGTTATTAATAGACTGGACTTATTACTAGAAACTATATTCTTTTTAATTTTGCCCTTTTTAACTGACTTCAAACAATAGGAGGTCAGCTAAGAAGGCTTTATTATTATTATTATTATTTTAAGAACTTCTGGCCCTTCGACCAACAAAGACGGTTTTATAAAAACAAAAACTTCTTAAAAACTAAATTTTAATAAAAGAAATCACAATAATGATACAATTGATATTTTTTAATAAGTTTTTTTAATTATTAAGTATTTTTATATTATATAAAGAATAAAATATTCGTTGAAAGCAGTCTTATGTACAATTTGAAGATCTATTAACTAAATATTAAATACAAATATTAATGTATTTTCATCCCAAAAGGGGTAGACAGGGGCACAAGGGGACTACTGTATTTTTGCTTACCACATGACGCTACTGTGAACCTCTCCATATTCGTCCAATACCGAATTAGCTAGTCACATAATTAGGTACTTTCCTCAATAAAATATAAATCATTTCGACTGTGCAATACAATAAAATATTAAAAAATAATTACATAACATAACATCACGCCTCTTATCCCCGAAGGGGTAGGCAGAGGTGCACATTATGCCACTGTATAATGTAACACCCACTTTTCACTATTTATGTTATGAGTCCCATGTAATAGGGGGTGAGCCTATTGCCATATACCGGGCACAATTCCAGACTCCGTGCTACTACTGAGAATTTTTTAAAAACCCAGTAATACTTTGCCCGACCCGGGAATCGAACCCGAGACCCCTTGCCCGGCAGTCGCACTTGCGACCTCTCGGCCAATGAGGCAGTTAAAAAATAATTACACTTTCATTAACTGATTATATGACTAACTTCATTTTGGTATTTTTCCAGTACATGTAAATGATACTTCCGAATACTGAAAGGGTACACAATAGGGTAGATGACTAATTTTTATTTTAATGTCCGTCTGGTAGATTATTTTAAATCATTAGACACGTATTTTTTATTTTCTTACAGAAACGAATACTTTCGACGATATATTGATTTAAAATGTCGCGTGACGTCACTTCTATGTATATTTTATATGTAGAAATGACGTTTTAGCCCCCACTCCTAAACTTTGATTCGTTTTATCTAAGTATTGTTTTATTATACGACAAAATAAAAAAATACGTGTCTAATATTTTTTCATTACCTAACTTGCGGACTAATTACATTTTTAATTTTCATATCTCGTCATCACCCCAATTGCCCCATTTGGTGAATAAAAAAACGTAATCCCCATGCACATATACAATGCAACACCATATTTAAATTACTCGACTACTTTCAAGCCATGCTAGAGGCTCATATTCATGAGCAGCATTTCGCGACCTGCAAAGCGGCGACTGTCGCGCTGGTACTTGGCTTGAAACTAGTCGAGTTCATTGTCAAATAATTACGTGAGTAAGCCGAAAACATAATAATTAATTTAGTATGTCTCACGAAAGTTACAATACAAACATTCTATAATTTACATATTAAAAATAAATGCATTAATTTTGTGATCCCGAGACCTCTTGGTCGGCAGTCGTACTTGCGACTACCATCTCTAAACATTCTTGTTGTTGGGTGTTTCTTCAAAAAACTTTAACTTTTATTTAACAAATCATTATCCTCCCGCGTTGTTAAGCATCGCAGTAACTTATTAGCATCTGTATTTTATTGCATTGGGTGAGAGCAGTCACATGGCTCAATTTTTTGAAACTAAACTTTGTATTTTAATCAGCAGAATTGTTAACTGTGGCTTAAGGATAATGACGCCGTTAATTTTTGGGTTTTTTTTTGGAGAATCACCCTGTTACGACAAAACAATATATAAGTACATACGTTTGATATTTTTACTTAAGTAGGTATTTTATATTTTGAAGACAAGTTAACAAATATATTTGTTACAATTCTTAAAGCACACGAACTTTATAGTCGGCTTTAGACGACAAACGAAAATTGTACCAATTCACCCCTAGATTTATGCCGGAATACTGAAATGTTACTCAATTTAAGTCGTGCTTAAATATCGTGCCATCTCTGTCATTTCACAAAGAATTTGTAGAGACAGAACTATACTTCGATACTCACTTCTTACTTCAGTATTCGGGCATTAGACTACAATCGAAAACGTCATTTTTGAAGTACATTTTACTTCGTCGTCTATACCTGACATAAGGTTAATCGTCCTATTAAAATATTTTGGCATAGATTGGAGATAGGCCAACGATACTTACAAATACTATGTCCGATAAAAGGGCGGACCCCTACTGACTGTGTACGTAGATAGGGGAATCCCTTTTGTGCCATATATAGCTTCAGGAGCGTTTTCATATTCAACATCGTAGTATATTCCATTTTGGTTCTGAAAAATGAATTTAGTTAGGTTTAGCTATTTGCATTTGAAAAAAAAGAATTATTGTATTCTTGTTTGTTGAAGGGGAGGGCAACGTGCACATAAACTAGCTTCTGCCGGCGGTTACACTCGCGTTTTTGTTAAAAAGTGATAATGTTATTCCAGACCATAATATTTGTCTGTTCCAAATTTCATCTCGATCCCTTTAGCTGTTTTGACGTCATTGTATTCAATAAAAAATGTGATTCCCTCGGGAATATCACATTTTTCCGGGATTAAAAGTACCATATTATTTAATCCAGATTTCTAAACTTTACGTCTGCAAAAATTCAAAGCAATCGGTTTAGTAGTTACGGCGTGAAAGCGGAACAAACAAACAAACTCACTTTCCGATTTATAATATTAGTAAGGATTGTTTTTCTTTTTTTAGGATAATATAGCTTTCTTCGCAAATCATCGTTAGTGTAGTTCCTAAACCAACTAGCAGTTAACCTCAATTTTTAAAGAAAAAATAATAATCTATTTTTTTTCTAATTTCTAATGGGTACTACCCATAAAAGCTCCGACAAGTAAAGAGGAATTGTCCTTACTGAAAATATTAAATCTACTGCCTAAAATACTAACTTTCCGACTACTTTATATGACTGTTTATTGCTACAATAAACAGTCTAAAACATCTGTTGTCGGTAACTTAGTAATTTTGTCGGAGGTTCAATATTCTATTCGGAAGTTTAGTTTTATTATTCGAATATCCATTTTTATAGTCGGCTACAGATCGCTGCAGATTAATTTGTTTTTCAGAACCATTATTATTTTCCATTTTTAATCTATGATCGTGTATAATATATCTAGATTTAGCCAACTTACATGCATACTCCTGGCCCTGGATTTGGGTCTAGGTACCAGTAGATCAGCTCTCTCCTGCACGTGGGATGACGCTTCAGAACTTGTGGATTCCGTCGCCATGTGGTTCGTGTAGCCTGGTTGAGAAACATTTAAATATTATTATAATATTATCTTTCATCCATTTATGATGACTTCTCCCGCCTTGGGTGAGGCGAGAGTTAGTATCAGACTCTTATTGACTAAGAATCACCCCGTTCCTACTTCTGCTCGAGCCAGAACCCTTTAAGCCCTGCGAAGCCCACGCTTTTTATCCCCGAAGGGGTAGGCAGAGGTGCGCATTACGGCTCTTAATGCCACTGTACAATGTAACACCCACTTTTCACTATTTATGTTATAAGTCCCATGTAATAAGGGGTGACCCTATTGCCGTATACCGGGCACAATTCCAGACTCCGTGCTACTACTGAGATTTTTAAAAACCCAATAATATTTTGCCCGATCCGGAAATCGAACCCGAATCCCCTTGCCCCGCAGTCGCACTTGAGACCACTCGGCCAACGAGACAGTCTAAAGTCTAATAAATAATAATATGATTACCGTATAAATTATGATGCGAGGCGGCAGTGTTGGCTCTGGACGCCACCGTGTTCAGGGTCCCGTTGTGATGGCCACCGTGCATGCCCATCCTGAAAGAACCAAATAGTAACGAATTAATATCATTTCAATGTACATACATAACATAACATCACGCCTTTTACCCCGAAGGGGTAGGCAGAGGTGCACATTACGGCACTTAATGCCACTGTACAATGTAACACCCACTTTTCACTATTTATGTGAATCCCATGTAATAGGGGATGAGCCTATTGCCATATACCGGGCACAATTCCAGACTCCGTGCTACTACTGGGGTTTTTACAAACCCAGTAATACTTTGCCCGACCCGGGAATCGAACCCGAGACCCCTTGCCCGACAGTCGCACTTGCGACCACTCGGCCAATGAGGCATTTCAATGTATTAATGTTTAAACTAGTCATTACTTAATCTAATATCCATGATAAATGGTCATATTATACATAACTGCAAAACCATCCTTAGTATCCTCATCCTTACTAATATTATGAATCGGAAACTGAGTTTGTTTGTTTGTTCCCCTTTCACGCCGTAACTACTAAACCGATTGCTTTGAAATTTTGCAGACGTAAAGTTAGAAGTCCGGATTAAATAATAGGGTACTTTTTAAAATGTTAGGGTACGAAAAAATGTGATATTCCCGAGGGAAAACAAAAGTATTGGTATAGATGGCGCTGTGTGTATTGGTATATGTCACATAGGCTACTTTTTATCATTATGTGACGCGAGCGAAGCCGCGGGTAAAAGCTAGTAAATAAATAAAATGTCCTAGTCGAAGCTTGTCGTGCAAACTCGAAAAATTTACTTTGACTGATAAGTATATAATCATTTATTCCAATAAAAACTTAAATAAAATGAACACTAACATAAC